AGCGTTTTCCGATTTTTTCAATTTTTTGCAATTTCATTGATTCAAAATTAAATGATTATATTTTTCGATTTTTAAGAACAAATTCTTCTACCTTATGGTGGTCAGAAAATTCTAAATTGTAATTGAGGCACATCAAGAAAGTATATGTTACCTACAGCAGTGAATTGTTTGGTTCATTTGTTGATTGGCTATACCCTGGAAATCTCTATTATGATGATAACCAGTAGAAAAAGTTATTCACATGGTTAAAGCATATTTGAATTTATACAATCAACTGATTTTTTTCGCAACTCTGCACCGTAAAAGCACTCAAACAAATATTATTGTCTATTAACTAACTGTTTTAACGCTGTGTATTAAGAAGAATAGCAATGAAAATTGTTATTCTCACCTGCAAAATACAGTAAGTAAATCTATATCAGCATGTCGGTTGTTGATGGACTTGTACTAAATATATTTCCACTCTTTTCTCCGCAGGGCATTAACGGTGCAGATGAATTTTAAAATTTTTTTCCTCCGTTTATAGTGGATATTGGTTGAAAAAAAGTGCATATGTTTGTCATTAGTTTTATTGTAGTCATATACTACTTGATTATTGATAATTTACTGTTCATGTTCTTCTAATATCTTAAAATTACTAAACATTTGGGAAAAAATGTTGATCGTTTTGGAAATATTTGAATTTTGAAGTTAAATTAACGATTTACATATGTCTAATCTTGTATGTTGTTAAGTTTTGCTACTGTTCTCTCTGAGTTCCATCACATGGAATGATACGTGTGACGGCATATTTTCACACGGAACTTCGTTCCCAGTGCGCCGATTACTTGCTATATATAGAGCGAACGTATCCGAATATTAGAAACCACACGTTATTACATGTAGCTAGTGCTCGGCGCACTGGGAACGAAGTTCCGTGTAAAAATATGCCGTCACACGTATCATTCCATGTGATGGAACTCAGAGAGTTTAAATGTAATAAAATATCTGTTGACTAAAATATGAGAATTTGTTTCAATATTATATCAATGAAAACATTTTTTGCTCAAATTGAGTATCACTTGTAATTCACAACCAAAAATCAAGAACCCGAAACATGGGCTCTAGGCAATGCGAACTGTGCGATTATTAAATAATTCATGGACATTGCTCAATATGAACGAAAACACAGAGCATAATGATGAAATAATACACACATACGGCGAGAGCAGATTGCAATACACATTCGATTCGATTGCTTTATTTGTATATGATGGCAACAATTCAACGAGTCTTCATCAATTAATAAGCGTATTGGCCGGTACTGATAGCAGTAGAACAGCAGAGTAACTGTGTTGTATACTATAGACACGCGTATCTTGTTCTATGTATGCGTGTGTGTAATGTATATAAATTATATTGAGTACAAAAACAAGGCACACAGTTCTTCAGTGACAGAGTGAAATGTTAGAAGTTAAGTGATGAATATCTGGTTGTTGAATTTATTGTGATTTTTTGCTTTTCAACTGAGTTACACCATTTATTAATAGTGAAAAACGATTTCAAAGTTAAAATAACCTTGCAATAAAATGTTGGCCGAATTGCTATTCTACGCAATAATAAGTGGAACATTGTTCTACATCTTTTACAAATGGGCGACTATTAACAGAGAATATTTTGTGAAACGCAAATTGAAACATGTCGAACCGAATTTCTTGATCGGAAACTTGCTTGGCTTGTTTTTAAAAAGACACCGACCAGCTGAGTTTATGGATTCACTTTATTATCGTTATCCAAATGAAAAGTATGACATAACATAATGTATTTTAGATATATTTTGTATAGACTAATATTATGTAATCTCTTTGTTAAGGTTAATTGGGCTGTTTGATATGCGGGTACCGATATATTTGGTTCGTGATGTAGATTTGATACAAAAAATCACAAAAAAAGATTTCGACAACTTCGAAGATCATGTTGCGTTCATTGACAGCGAATCGGATACGCTATTTGGACAGAGTTTATTTTTGATGAGTGAACAGAAATGGCGTGAAATGAGAGCTACACTCAGTCCAGCGTTCACTGGGAGCAAAATGCGTCACATGTTTGAATTGGTTGTTGAGTGTGCGGATGATATGGCCAAATATTTAGTTAGCGAAGCAAAGCAAAAACCGGTTCGATGGGAAATGAAAGAACTCTTCTCTCGTTACACCTCCGACGTGATTGCGTCGTGTGCATTTGGTTTGAAGGTCGACTCTCTCAAAGATCGTACAAATGAATTCTTCACAATTGGAACGAATAGTCTTAATTTTGGCTCATTTGCAGTGGCGATGCGCATGCTGCTCATTCGATCGATGCCAAAATTGATGCGTGCTATCGATTTTGAATTTTTCCCAGCGCATGTCAAACACTTTTTCAAGTCGATGGTTCTGGACACGATGGCAGAGCGAGAGAAAAAACACATTGTCAGGGCTGATATGATTAACATTTTAATGCAAGTGCGTAGCGGTAATTTGAAGCATCAAGTTGAAGAAGCGCATGATGATGACGCTGGTTTTGCTACGGTCAAAGAATCAAACATTGGAAAGGGGCCTGTGAAACGATCATGGACTGATGATGAAATCGTTGCGCAATGCTTCATTTTTTTCGCAGCTGGATTTGATACAGTCAGTGTTGACAAACCAAATTCACTAATTTCTTCTATTTTTCTCCTACTATTATCGTTGAATAATGTTCTAATTTAACTCATTAAAGTTCCATGTCTCCCACTTAGGTCAGTACACTCATGTCATTTTTATCGTATGAACTGGCTATCAATCAAGATGTTCAAAAAACATTATACGAAGAAATTCGAGAGGTCAATAAAACTCTAAATGGCACGCGTTTGACGTACGATACACTTTCAAAAATGAAATACTTGGATCAAGTGATTTCAGAGGCGCTCCGAAAATGGCCACCAGCCATTTTTACAACACGAAAATGCACAAAAGACTATGATTTGGATTTGGATGGCAACAAGGTTTTGATTGAACGTGGCAATGTCGTGTTTCTTCCAATTTGCTCTATCCATCACGACTCAAAATTCTATGAAAATCCAGAACATTTTGATCCGGAAAGATTCAATGACGAGAACAAACATAAAATCAACCCAGGCGCATATTTACCATTCGGAATCGGTCCGCGCAATTGTATAGGTGAGTAGTAAAAAAGAATTCAAGTCAAACGGTTTAGAATTGAATACGATTCGATTTTATTCTATTTACAGGTTCACGGTTTGCTCTAATGGAAGTAAAGGCGTTGTTCTTCTATTTGGTGCTAAACTTTAATATTCAACCGTATGAGAAGACACAAATTCCAGTACAGATAGCAAAATCGGCAGCAAATTGGATCACCGAAAGAGGAATACATGTGGAATTTAAACCGAGAGTCTAACCAATATGTTTCTTGATTTGCTTGAACAAAAATGGCTTCCATTTTAATACATATTATTAACAGTGCTTACAGAAATATGAACAAATCCATTTAAAATATAATACTAAAAATAAAAAATGCTTACGCATTTTTCAACATTACACGATTCATTTTTATTTATCACGAAGCATTATTGAAAAGATTCATATACGCAGTTAACCGATTCAATGAGACATCGTCAAAACATGTGACGCTGATTATTACAAAACGTATTACATATATCTCGTTAAGCATAGTACAAGCGGGAACAAGCAAAGAACACACTACATTGGAAGCAAATCATACAGTAGTGTATTCAATACTGTGGCGGCAAAGCGATGATGATGACGTAACTCTGTAAACAAACAGTTTCAGCTGATTTGTTCAATCGTCGGTATGTATAGGATAGAGGCGACAAAAGAATTGAATAAAAACAAAACACTGAGCTTTGTGTGAGCTGTGAATGTGGCAGCGCAGAATATGTCAACAGTGAGGTTATATCAATTTTAATCAAACAAATTGAATCTATGCAATAAGCATTGAGTAGCTCGTCACCGATTTGTGTAAATTGATTACTGTAGAAACAAAAGAGTATTCTATCGATATCAATTATCCGAATGATTAGATGTGTGAAAATCATCATTAGAATGATATCAAAATTGTCTAGGAAATTGTTGTTTATATGCTTATAAGTGGAACTGCGCTCTATGCCTTTCACAAGTGGGTGACTGTTGACAATAATTGCTTTGCGAAACAAACACTGAAATACTTGAAGCATGCCGAATGAATTGAAGTCGACATTTTTGTTGGAAATGCTACCGGAACGAATGGGATCTACTTGAAACTAAAGACCAAGACCATTTCTTATCTATTTCATATTATCAAATTTTGCGACGTACATACGGTCACGACTGATAGTCAATAAAACTGGGAAAAAAATCAAGAAAAATTCATTTATTATCAAATATCAATCTTCAACTATATTCGCAGTTGTTCTCTGCTCAGTCCATTATCGGCTCCAATTAATATTATTCAATAAAAACGCAAAAGTGGTGCCGTTTCCGAAAATGGTTATTCGTTTATTATTATGCGACGTTTCGCTCTTACTAGGAGCATCATCAGGCTGGAGAACAAAAATGTATACAAAAACAATGAGTGTGTGTTAAGACATTAAAACAGTAAAAATAATCAAATTACGAACCGGTTACAAAATAACTTTAGCTTGTTCTGTTGAACAGGAACCAATCCATGGTCATTAATTGGAAAATGTTACGAAAATATGCACGACATTAAACGATAATTTGTTTACACGGTGCAATAAAACCATACGAGTGACATTTCGAATCACGGAATACGGTTGTCAACAAAAATACACAGACAAGTGTATCGGAAAATACAATTTGACTGGTGTACAACGAAGTTCAAGCAGTAAGTGTGTGTGTGGTTGGCCGTACGGCCAACTCTACGTCTATAGTCACAGATAATTTTTGAACCTATGAACTAAAAATCGTTTTGGAATTGAAAAATTTGATGTTTGAAACGCAAATGGAGAAAATGAAAACTAGCTTATTCCCTGTTACATTTCATGTAATGGTAAAAACATGTTTCCAACGAGGAAAGGATCATCATAACAGGTGAGAATTCCAAAGAGATAAGACTATCTTACGGCGAATGAGGTGAACTCACATAACAGTGTACACGAGCTCTGCAACCGACTATTTTGAAACAAATAAAAAATTCGCCTGATTACATACTTTTCCAGTTTGACAAATTCTTCTGAATCCAACTCAGCAGTTGGTGTAGTAATCTTATCCTACGTCGAAAAAACACTTATCTTTTTTCTTCGTAATTTCTTGTCACTTTTCCCAATTACCAGTTGTCCTATGTTTAGATCACGTGTGAACATTATTTGATCCAATCATTTTCAAGAAACCTATTTTATAATCGTTTGGGAAATACTAGAACCAAAGACCTATATGAAGAACATAAAATTATAGATTTTGAACACTTAATCGATTTCGAATTAAATGTAAATCTGCATAAAATAGAAAGTAGAAAAAATGAAAGCAAATATAAATATTCAATACAACCATGAATTTCATGAACACAACATTAGGCAAACAAAACAAATGCGCAAGATTAAAACAAAAAATGAATGGGGCGATAAATCAATAATAAATCGATGTATATACAAATGAAATAAAATATCATACCCTAAAGAGAGAGAAAAATATGATTAAATTCAAAAACAAACTGAAAAAAATAATTCTTGAAAAGCAATTCAATATTCACTATGGATACATATGTAAATTTTGCCATAAAATATTTATTTTGTAAAACGAAATCAAAATTAGTTTGTAAGGATAGATTATTCATGTATGTAGTTCTACAACATTTAAAAAAATAAATAAAAAATAAAAATATTATTATTATTATTTTTCCATTGTACTGAAATACGCCAATTGTCAAAAGAATCCAAGATGATAACCGCATGATGATCATCTGATTTTGATTTGGTGTGAAACTGTTGTACTTCAAACAAACTTGTCAAGTGTTCAATGAAATTTATGTGAAACTTTTATGAGACTATCTCAACTTTAGCATTGTATTTATGAATAAATATTGGTGGAAGAATCAAATCTTTTTTTTTATGCTCATGTTGTTATAAATAGCCGACAAAATAACCATTACCTATAAATAGCATGCCACCGTTAACAAATTGACACATAATTAATTTGAAAATGAATCAGGTTTTTCTTCAATGCACCGAGCGGTTGATAGAGAGTGTGCGGATGATGCGACACTATGTCTATGCGACGCTGCTATCGACGTAATAATTATTGTTGCTCTGCTCTTTCATTGCATTCGATGAATTGGCGCGTGGCGTAATTTAAAAAAGTATGTATGAATTAATATGAATTTTGCTTTGTTTTTATGGGCTTCTATGCCACGTTTAGAGCCTCGGCATATGCGCGAAATTAGATTGGAAAAGTGGAAAGTGTCTCTCGAAATATGAGCAAATTAGAATCACAAATAGAATTATAGATAATGCTACTTTTTGACTCTACAATGTTTAGAATCGCAACGATTCAATTGCTTTAATTTGCTTAATTCGGCAAGCGAATACTACGAGCAAATACTCAGTGAAAATTCCGAAACGTATCGTATGGAGTAAATGCCAATTTTTTCTCTCTTTTAACACTCATTCGAAGCGAAGAAGAAGAGGAATAAATAGAATTATGATTACATGGCATGTGGCTGTTGAGAGTGGATTATTGATCACATATCGTTGTATCGGTCAATGCATGCGAATAATAATCGGTACACGTGTGTGCATCAGGAAGTCGTCAATGCAACTGAATGATTTGTTCAAAAACCATAATTCATCAGGCGGCTGTAAGGCTTATCGTCATCAACAAATAACGTATAGCTGGCATTATCTGTTGTCTTCGTAATCCATCTACACATCGCACAGCACCACATTCAACACCTTTCTCCCTCTCTTTGCCTCTTAGGCGAGGGCATTTGAATTGATTTTCATTCTCATTGTGGATTCGGCAGCTTGATAATGATGTATGACTGTGCTCAATTGCACTCATTCGCTTATACACGCTTGGTATGTGCGTACATATTCGATTCGAGTTCGATACTCTGCGGTGAACATACTCAATGTGATTATTATTAGCTTACTGCACAGTGATGGTTTAAAGTGGCGTTTGGCATATTAGCAAAATTCGTGTATTCTGTTTGTGAGACCATTTTCCATCGAATTACCTGGCATTGAAAATTCCGATTTCAATTTGCAAGTGGAAGAGACCAACATGTGACATTGGTTCATCAAAACGTTTTTGCCGAAAAGGGAAACACTATTAAAAGCCCTAGATGTGTTTTACACATACGCACAATATAATTTCAACTATGTTCCATCGGTGCCCATAAAATACGGTTCGAACTGTGTTTAGTTTACGATTGTCACAAGAAGTAAAAAAAATGTGTGAAATCTACATTGAAAGACACGAAATATGCGAAATAGATTTATCGGGTACAAATGTTTGCCTGTTTGTTCGATGTGTTTCATTAATTTTAGATGAGTCCTGTTTCAACTCAATTTGGCTTGTTCATGCCAATGTAAGCGGGCGTACACAAGTGATTGCACGATACGCAAAAAGGTAGATAACACAAATTTACAAGTGTAATGTGCACACCGTTCGTCGCATTACGTAACGGAACCAATGCCAAGATTTTTGTGTTGAAATGGTGTTTTCATTTTGGCATGCCGTCTAATGAATTTCATGTTAAATCGCTCGAATCGTTATCGATTATATTTTGATACATACACGAGTGAGGCAGAGTGAGGCAGAGCGAGAGAGAGAGAGAGAGAGAGAGAGAGTGCGAGCGATTGCAATCCATCTGTGGATACCGCGTGGAAAATCACAGTTCTTAGCTCTCGTTCGGAATTAAATGTAGCAGATGTTATTGGAAATTGAAAATAGCAAAACAAGGGCAAACTCACATTCTGTTTATTTATTGCGAAGAATCGAGAATTCAAAATCGAGCTGCTATCAATCGAAACAACATTCCGATGGGGAAACAAATGCGCATCAAGAATATGCTAAAGAATTAGTTTCACGGCTTTTTTTTCTTACTTCGAAAATCTGGTCAAATTAATGCAATTTGAGCTGCTTGCGATTGGGATTTTTCTCGGAAAAACTAATTTTTGTATTTAAAACCGCACGATGGTTCAGAGCAAAAGCGAAAATTTAATAAGAAATAATTGGAAAATTCTGCATTTCCATTTCATGAGACGATGCATTTCTTTTGAGACGCGGATCCATACAAAAATCATAACCAGGGAATCAGTTTGAACTTTTTTCTGCTTGCTGTTTTGTTATCAATTCCAATTTCATCCAATGATAAGTAAAATGATTGAACATTGCATTCAATCTTTTTTTTGCGGCCCCATCGACCGATGGCCGGAAATATTTGGATAAATATTGCAGAAGTTGGATAGTTTGACATGTTTTACTGACAACGACCGAACGAAATATGCAAATACATTTATTTGCTGGCTAAATGTTGATCGATTCCTTTGCTTTCTTTCATTTTTTGTGCCTTTCCGCTGTTGACTTGTACGAGCTTTCGAAAAACGGGCCAAAGTTATATAAGAGATTTCTTGAATTACTTTGAATTCTCCTTTGGATGCATTTCGTTTACTTTCTTCCTTCTTGATATTGCACTTTGGTGAAGAAAAAGAAATGACCGATAGTTTTCCCGAGATAAAAACGGAAATCGCAAATTCATGTTTGTGAGATAGAATCGATTAAAAATTAGATTGCAAGACGAAAACTTTAAATGGAATAACGAATGCAACCCATTTTTCATTTGAATTATATCTCTATGAAAAAAAATGCTCAAAATTTTGCTACGACAAAAAAATAGGCTACGGCTAAATTATTGAAGACAATGACTTTAAGACAAAGGATGAAACTATCATCCCAGCACACCCTGAATGAATTGCTTCCACATGCAATATTCTCTACGAAATTTCTCTCATTTATAATGGTCTAGTATTGTCTACGTGTTACTTACAGCGAGCTTCGAATTAGGTGAGTTCATTTCATGCATGAAACATTTCAATTCACCGTCGTGCAGTAAATGAATAAAAATGAAAGTTCCACAAAAGAGCTAGGTATTGCGAAGTAGAAAACTTTTGAATTCTCGAAAGCGTATTCAAGACTGTGTTTTATTTTTTGTTTGGCGGGCGCCAAAAAATATGAATTACCATTGTTGGCTTCGTCGAAACCGTTCAGCAGAATGTACACAAATCGAAAAAGCGAGGGAGAGAGAGAGAGAGAGAGAGAGAGAGGGAGAGAGTGAGAGAAAAATGCGAAGTGAACAACAGTGAAGGAATGAAAATGAGGCCCATGTGGGGAAGGAGCGGATAATAAAAAGGAATTACAAATAAAATAAACTTCCGTCGTTCATTGTGTACTGCACATTGAGTTCTTTTTCTTTTGCTTTCATTCGTTCGTTCGGCAAAAGTAACGCAGCCAACAAACAAGAAGAACAAACACGAAAAAAGCAGCAGCAGCAGCAGTAGTAGTAGTAGCAACAACAGCATCATCAAACCAAAGCCTCGAATTGTAAATATACAGATAAAATTTTATTTTTATTGCAAATATGAATATGTAATGATGAACGAGAGTGAATTCAGTTTCCGTGTCTATTTTTGTAGCATCGTCTGCTGCAGTCTCTTCCTCTCACTCTCTCTCTCCCTCTTTCATTGTTAAAACATATCCGAGATTTTTGGTACAGCGCGCCATTGCGACGATGGTTGCATCCACTCTATGCCACTTACTCTCTTGAATTATTTGATTTAATTTTTGTGTGCATTTCATGCTTTTTACATGTTAAAAAATTCTCTCCCGGTTCCCGTTCGCCGTTTCCACTTCTCGTCGTCGGCATCGATTGCCAGGAATCAGGGATGTTAGGGCGTCTGATTGCGATCGGCAGAATTTGCATCTCTTTTTTTTCATCCACAATTGAACTGATTGTCTCGATAGAGTCGTTCGAATCAGAAGTGCATTTCAACTTCAAATGTCGAATTTGAATTGAATAGATAAATCAATTACCGTCTTCCCTTTAAAATGTTCCAAACTCAAGATTCAACATCGGTAATTTTCTAAGAAAACAATTGAATATTTAAATTTTACATTACAAAAATGGAGAACTGTATAGCTCCTTGGATTCCAGCCATTTTCAACAAAAACTTCTTACCTTTTCTTCTACACTTACCTGAAACAGGCTATTTACTTTGAATTAAAACTACTTCTGTTCCGCTGCAACTCGGAACAACCTCGAAGAAGAAAAAAAACATACAGCAAAAGAAACGCTCACTGAATTCAAAGCATGATACTTGTTTTATTCGCTGGATCATTCATTTGCGATTTCAAATAAATACCAATCGTTCGCCATCACTGTACTGATTATGTTTTGGGTTATTTAATAAAATAATGATATATTCATTAGTATTGTTGCATGTCATTTAATATGAGCAATTTTGTAATACTTTGGCTGCCACTGCGATCGTTCGTTTGACACCTTTTACTTTAATGTGTTAATTTTTTTGTTTTTGTTTTTTCATATATATGCATAATGTGTAGTAATAATGGCAGCGTTGCAACCAATTTTCAACACACGTCACGTGACGGATACACACACACTCTCTCTCCCGGCAAATGCTTTATTTCTGCTACAGCTATTGATTATTAACATTTAACTATGCATTTAAATAAATAGTGTTTGTAATTTCATTAAAATATTCAATAATCACCTCTTTAAATATATATATATATTTACTGTATATATATCGGATTATGTGGTTTGTATGCTCGTGTGTTCGTGTCTGTATGTGTACATAGAAACTCATCTGATGCCTTAATAGAATACTACGTATATGCTTTTCGGTTTGGTTTGAAGGAGGGAGAATCGAAATGACTTTGAAGTCCGATAAATTTGGACATTTTTTATCTTAAAAGTGAAGATGAGAAAATCCACGGGAAAAGCAGCATGAATCGAAGTGAGTATCGATTGGAAAGGTATTAGATTTTGATGTAAATTTTAATTGAAGTTTTTTTTTATTTATAGGGTAATGTTGTGATGTGTCATCCAACCGATTTCGATAACTAAAGTTAGAATCAATATAAATAATTGATTTGAAATTGAACATTCAATCAAATCTCCAAACAAATCACAGAAAAAAATCAGAAAAAAAAATTCTAAATTCAAATTCACTCAATTTTCGAGACTTTCCTCCCGAAAAATCACTCACATTGCATTTTCCACACGGAACTTGTTTCATTATTTCCACGTTTCAATCAAAATGTCCATCATCATTTCGAAACTCACTCGGTTCACTTGAACCGTTGATGTTTGACATGTCTCTTCACCATCGATAACAATTGAGGCTGTGAGAATGAAAATGGCAATACAGGAATGAACATTCTGAATACGCAAAAGTGAACCATGAACCTCCTATGCTGCCCATGTAAATTCATGTTTCACTTTTGCATATTCAGAACTCATGATTCATTTTTGCGAATTTTTTTTCTTGATGCGTTTCAGAATGTTTATTCCTGCATTGCCATTTTCATTCTCACAGCCTAAATTTATCTAGGCTACTTTGCCGCGCGCGGGAGCAAATGACAAAATGTGAACGCAAACAAATTTTGTTCTTTTTTTTTGATTGACTAATGATATGACTTTCCGAATTGATATGGTTGATATGCTAACAAATGATTTAAATGGTTTTAATTTTTGAGTTTCACGCAACTTTTAACATTCAATTTAAAATACATATACGCAATGGATTTTTTTTTTAAATTCTCGAAAAGATACACAATGCTCAACAAATCAAATCAAAACCTTAAACCTAATATGTATGATGTGTGATGATAGCTTAACTCCAATCATAAAAATTATAACTTTTTATTTCACACATGAGCGCTCGTATAACGGCAGTCGACTTGACTGCGACGCTTTTTTTCAATCCGGCTGGCAAACATTTCATTTTTTAACTCTACAGTGAATTCATCGTCTTTTTTGTTGCTGTTGTTGTCTCATTTTAATTTGTCTGTTAACAATTATTGTTTCGGATTTCGCGATTATTATTCTTTTTTTCTCTGTTGTGTATATTACAAAACCCTGCATTTTCTTTTATTTTCTTCATTTTAAAAATGTAAATATAAAATTGTGAGTAGCGCACAGATCCAGTGAATAATGCTATGTGATGGTTGCTGTGTTATACCTGCATCGAGGAAAGGAATTGGTCACATGATAAATGAATGTGCGCGCGTTTTTTTTTCTTGCTTTCAACTTACCTAAATTGACACCAATGTGACCAGTTGGCCAACCGAATCCCTTATTCACTTCGTCTAGTGAGGATTTGTGCTCGAATTTGTCGATCTCATTCAAATTCGATTGATATTTATTAGCTGTGGGTGGGGAAAATGGATATTTCTCTTTAAATATGAAGTTCAAAAAGGAAAGACTGCTATCAACGAAAATAAGAGAAATTTTTTTTTCACAAAAGAAGGAAATTTTTTTTTTTTCAAATGAAAATAAAGTCTTTGAGTAAGAAGAAAAAAAGTATCATCATGAGAGAAACACTAAGAGCAAAATCAAAAGTCAAGAATCGGAAAAAAAGTCTCATTACATTTGTCTACAATATTGATGATGTTGCTTTCATTATCGTCTGTAATTGCCTCTTCACTGTCATCGTCGTCGAAATCATCGTTTGATGACGGCGTCGTTCCCAGGCCCGGTTGCATGGTCGGCGGATTCGAGACTACGGCGGATGGCGGAAGGCACAAATCGGAAAAACAAATAATAAAATACCATTAAGAATGCATTAAGTACAATGGTAATCGCAACACAAATCTGGTACAAGTGTTTAATCACATCATAAACGAAAATTATTATGACAATTGTCAGATGGAATAACGAGAGAAATTCCATAACAAACTCGTTCTCTCAATCTCAATCTCTCTCTCTCTCCCCTTTCGCTCTTTCCCTCTTTCGTTCTTCTCTTCGTTCACCATTCTCCCAAAGTGAAATACTTTCGTCATAATTTCATTTCAACTTTGCGCTGAACTGATGCGAAAACTCACAAGACAAAAGACATTCGAATCATTTTTAATCTCATAAAAAAAACTTCTGCAATCCAATATTCTTTGGCACAAGAGCGTTGTCATTGTCGTTGTTTGTGCCTCGGCGAACTCGGTCTGTCTCGATGGTTAGCATTAATGCGTGAATCCGCTTGAAATTCACGTGCCGTTTGCGGTTTTTCCTCCCGTTGCCAAGCAAGACGCGATGGTGGTAGAGCAGCCGCTCTCTGAATGAACAGGCAATCAACGAAATGACAAGGTAACAAGCATTCGGAGCATTTTAAATACTACCGCATACACACACACACAAACCGAAATTCCATTTTATCATCTCATTTTGAGCATGCATTTCATTTCTCATCCCCGCTGTATGTGCTCCATCGCAAATGTTTTTGTTTCAATCATAAATATTTCCGTATTTAAACAGACGAAAACAAATAAACATTACATTTGCTATGCACTTTGTTTTCCAATGCCAAATGGAAAGTTTTCGCTTCTGTTTTCCGTGTACTTCTCATACTTGCTACATTCGAATGGTTTTCTCTATATTGGCTGTGTCTACGTCGCATTTGTTACCGTGCCAATGCCGGATTCGATCATTTATTCACAATGACACAAACATAAAATGGATTTTATTATTTTATGACACATTTACCACTTGCGATTTACCCATTTTGCCATAAAAAATGTCCAATTGCCACGAATTGGCCGTTAATTAAATGGATTTTATGAACGTTGGACGACAAATAATTTCATTTAGTTATCGGGCCAAGCGAATGTTAATTCAAGTTAATTGCCTTGATTTTAGCCACCTTTCACAGTGAATGCTTTGGAAAATCATTATTCCAAATTCGAATATTGTTTCATGAAATCAATTTGAATCGGATAAAAATGGCTTTTGAATCCATTCGTTGGTTCGGTTTGATTAAAAAGATTCAGAATTCTTTGAAATTCGGTGGTGTGAGACAGAAACTTTTTTGGTTTATCTCATTTATTAAAATTTGTGTATAGTTCTGATGTGCTCAGCTAATGTATTTTTATCAGGTTTCCATTCCTTCTCTCCAATTTGAGCTCATGATCGCATTGACATAGAAACTGTTATCATTCTTCATAGTTTCCTGTTTTGAAATTATATTTACCATTTATCTGAATAACGAAATTACAAGAGGATGTTTGACTGCAGGATGTTTCTAAATCGATAATTCTATATCAAACTGGATTCTTGTGGTTTTATTATTTCGTCAAAAAGGCTATCTATTAAACCAATGTAGCTGCCTAAAATACTCAGTTTTATGCCAACGTTCAAAGACTACGGACGGTTTCATTTGGAAATTGAAGATAAAAAAGGCGAAATGTCCGTTCGAAAATCGACTTCATTTGTTATTCTTTTTGTGGGCTTCATTTATTTTGCTACTGCACTAGAAAGCGTAAATTGATCTAGATTCAAGATGAAAGAACCGCAATAATTATTAATTCGATGTCAGCCATTTTTGGAGCTATTTCAAGCTGCGGATACCAAGTGCTTGAACGCATATAATTTTTCGGAAGAAAATACCACATTTGGTGATTTCTTTGTGGAATTTAATGCAACGAACAACAATCAAGACGAATACAACAATCTTACTTGTTACTACCAATGCTTGGCGTCTGATCTTGGTTTGGTGGGTGCATAATTGTTAAACATTTGATATTTTTCAATTTAATAATTTTTTTTCATTATTATTTTGATCAAAAGATCGATGAAAATGGCATCAAATTATTGTTAGCGAATTTCTCCAAATTGCTGTAGCAGAAAACTATAAAACCGAATTCGAACAAGACCTCGCAGGAGTTGGACCCCTTTTTGTTCAACTAATGCTTGCAGCAAGCCACAAACCGAACGAAGTCAGCTTATAAGTTTGTGGAATGTTCAGGTCCAGTCATTTCTTCGGGAAAATCTCCTTCGATTTATACGGGAAAAACTACAACAAACCAGCATTCTTTTAAACACACGGAATAAGGCGCTGTGTCGTTTCACCAGACAATGATGCTTGCCTTCGAAAAATGCTATTCAAATGTTCAATTTTTAATTCGATTTTCCGTGTAAGAAAATTAGATTTGCAATAACTATGCACACAACGTTGCGATTTTTCTTAAGTAGAAGATGGTTTTTTTATCATAAATATTCCCTAATAATACAAAATCAAACTTCCGCTTTGCAGCTAGAGATTGAAAACCTCATGCCTTCTCGATGATTTCATCAGCAGTTTGTCTACAAAAATAAAAAACCATTGGATGTTATGAAGAAAAACAATAAAAATAAAAACAAAATCAAATCGACAAAAGCGGTTTTTCATTTGAAAAATATAAAATTTCGGAAGCACATGAATTTCCTCAAAACCACGTAACTCAATACACGAAGTAAAATTTAATTGCAGACAAAAGTAATTACAATTCATGGAAAATGTTGACGCAACTTCATTGAAATTCTCCGGACGGCAATAAAAGTTCGGTGGTTCCTGTGCAAACACTAGCGAAAGATTTCTCTGTCTACGTTCTTGATAGTTAGACGGTGATTGGTAGCCAAGTGCGTTCAAATCACCGTCAAGTGTTTGGTTTCACCGTTAGACGGTTTTCATTAGTAGGAAGTTAAAGTCGAAGCGAAGGCTGTTTCGATTGCCAAGTCGGAAAATTATAATCGAAAGCAATAAAATCAAGTGAAATCACAGATCGATTGCCATCGACTGGATATATCGACTGCGAATTGTTTTCGACTTCCCCAACAAAAAGCTAATTCAATATTCTGTTCGGAATACTTTTTGCTGTGCTCGACAGTGCAATTTTCTTGTTTTTATGCGATTCCATTCGCTTCCGACCGGCAATCAACGTAATCGACACATACATCGTGCGAAATCGAAACGAGCACGAAGGAAAAAAAAATAACACGGCAATTTTCATTTTTATTTATAACTTTGCATTTGCCACGAACACGAATGGAACTCAATCAGAAGCGCACAGTAACACAGAGAGAGAAAAAAATAAATAAAAGATTATCTATGTGATTGTATGATTGTAATATCAAACGCTATACGGAATGAACTGTCTCACGCGCACAGGAAGCAATACCATTTGAATGTTGTACGATGCGTGCCGTAATATGACTTCGTTATCCACATCCCGGCGATGAAGAATAAGTTCTTAAGTAAAAGCTTGATTCATATTTATAAGTGAGTCGATCAGAGAGGAAAACGCGTACGACAAACATTTAACCCATGGCAAAGGCCACGAGCAAGCATAAAAGCGAGGGAGAAAGCAAACGTCTCTTGGGTGCACTCAAAGATATTCCAACATAAATATGATGATGATGGTGGTGGCGATGATGACGATATCGTGGCGACGAACAACCATTTGCACGGGCACAAAACCCATAAATTTTCTCCAATGCCAAGTGTGAAGCAAAATTATTACATATTTTTCGGTGAAACGTTCATCATTTGATTGTTGCTTTGTTATTCGTTCGAATTCACCGAACATTCTGTAGATGAAACGAATTTCAACGTACCACAAAGCTTTGGGCCGATGCTAGTGGAATAGAGGTATTATTCGTGATGATGATTCTATATCTTTGAAAGAATAATTTCAGATTCAGAATATAAATGTGTATTTTTGAATTACAATCAAATGAAGATGAAACGTTTGAAGGAATTTAAAACAAAAAAGTCGAGATTCAGTCGAATTTCGATGTTCATCGCCAATCAAATCATTTGTTTTTTTGTTTTGCAAAAGTAATCATGAATTTTTTTTTTAAATAAATAAACATTTGTATGTTCACACAAAAAATAAGATAAAGTTCAACATCCGTTTTGATTTCATCTGAAAATTTTCACAAAAACTTCTCATTAAGTTCCGTTGAAATTGCATTGCTTGATTGCAAACAAATCGTCCATTTTTCTGTTAAAAAAAAGTCAATTTGTCCAATGATCTGATCTCATATTTAATGAACCGATTTCGTTTGTTCTTCGAAGCTTTTGAAACTGCATTTTCTGCTATAAAAGGGGACAACAGCACATCTAAATGACCAGTTGAAAATTGTACGGAATCTGAAAATAAAGCGTTATTAGCCCGAATAAAACCATGTTCGAAAACAATTTCAAAATGTTTTGTTGGCTTTTGATTTTCGGCTTTGCCTCTCTTGCCATTGGTAGTGATCACGGAGACAAGGTTCGAACTCATCAAAATTCGAAGTTTTTGCACAATCCCAAACGAATGTTTCATTCAATTTTCTTTTCCCAATCCATCAATAGATATTCGAAGATGGTGAATCAAAAGAAGAATGCATGAAAGAGCTTAACATCACCGCTGAACAGATCGAGGAAATGGAAGATGCCGATGCACCCATTGATAAATACAACTGTTTCGTTGGATGTTATTTGCTTCGAGATGAGTGGGTAAGTTCATTTAATAGCTTTTATTGTATTTTTTCTACGTTTAAACAAAACTATGTTCAACAGATCACCGAAAATGGTCAGTTGAACAAAACCAAGGCGGCCGAAGAAATCGCTAGCGAAGACGATAACGACGTCAAACTGAAATTGCAACGGTTCTTCCATGATTTTGATGAAGATTTGAAAGCTAAAGCAACTGACACATGCTCAGCCGGTAAGGTGGCTCAGAAGCAATTCTACACAGAGGATAACGACGAAGAGAACTGATAGAGTTGAATTGTTTCGGGAAAAGTGGCCAAATGAATTGAATGATATTGAAAATTATGTCCATATAAAATGAAATAAAATACTTTTTTTGTTTGTGAGAAGCAGAAACATCATTCATTTCAATTGCTTGAACTTTTCATTACTTCGCTGATGTTTGGAATAGATTCAATCGGAACGAAATCTCGTGAAGTTTTGTATTGATTTTTGAAATATTCATTTTTCGTTTTTCGAAAGTTCAGAATTGGTCACTGGTAGCTGGAGTGGTTTAAGTTATTCGTAAAATCGTCCCACGCATAATACTTACATGCTATGCGGTTTGTTTGTGTGTGTGATGCATTATTGTGTGCACTAATTTGCAAAAGCAATTCGGAAAACACATGAAAGGTGGCCGTCTGTTTATGATCACTGATGGTGGAATAAGACTTTGTAAAATGTTTGAAACAAGCATTTTTTCAACGTGCTATTGGATTTCAAAAGACACGCACAGTACATAGTAAGAGCCAATGCAAAAGTCAATTGATGCGAAACCTCTAATGATTACGGAGAGTTACCATAAGTCGTATGCAATTGATGTTGAGAAAAGAAGAAGAAGAAGAAGACATTCTATTCATTTACATTGCAATAATGGCAATCAGTAGAGATGGTGCTCATGTGCCGATCATATTACTGTTACAACCCTTCTAAATATTTTTGTGCGAATAGCCACTAGATAATTTATGTAGTATCAAAATAATCGACTGTATGATGATCTGTAGAAATTTAGAGAAATCCGATCATTTTGGCAGTATAAAACCCACTTTATGGACATTTGCATATAAATATTGACTAAATTGTATGCTAGTGCATTTCAATTGTAAAGTCTTTGTTCACCCTGAGTTAAATTATCAACATAAAAAAAAATGAAAAGTATTATCACTTTTTAGGAAAAATTACATCTGGTTTCTCTTTTCCTGTTTTCAATGAACACTTTTAATGGAGAAATTTTTTTTTTATTGTATTCAACACGTGCAATTGTATGCAACACGACTAACTCTAATCTAGATTTTATCTATCACACCACCTATTTCCTGTTAGGGCTATAATAACATTTTGGAAACCAGAATAATTGGTAGAAATAATTCAATGAGCCAAATCACTCGTTGCCTTGTTTTATCTCATCCGTGATAAACAATGGAGAATAAATAGTTTATTTCTCATCATTTTCATTTCGTGCGACATCATATTTTCGCTATAAAAGAAGTGTTTGATGTTTATTTGTCTACAGTTGGAATTATTTAAGCTTCAAGCACAGATATTTCAAATACAATCATGTTCGACAATAACGCCAAAGTAGTTCAATGGATTCTAATTCTGAGCTGTATTTCTCTGATCTTTGCTGGTTTTTTTGACGATGAGGTATCAATGCATTTTAGGCAATTGTTATCTGTTTATTATGATTAATTGGTTTCCTAGATATGTTGAGTAATAAAATTTCAAACATTTTTAGGAGGACAAAAAAAATCTACAGGAATGCATGAAAGAGCTTGGTGTCAGCCAAGCTAAAGTGAAGGAAATGGAAGACGCGGATGAACCTAACAGCGAATATTCTTGTTTCTTCGGATGCATGTCCTTTAAAGAAGGATTGGTAGGCTAGAATAGTTTACAATTTTGGATGACATTGTTTAAACAACGAATGATTTCAATAGATCATGAAAAATGGACAAATGAACAAGACCTGGGTTGATGCTGCGATAGCCACAATGGAAGATAAAGATGAGAAAGAATTTATGCAAGAATTTTACAAAGTTATTGGCAACGATTTAAAAAATGCTACTGATACATGCTCAGCAGGCGCATATCTTCAGAACATGATGTATAACTTGAAAAAAGCCGAAAAAGAGCTAACAAGTAAAAATGATTGATTTGGAACGAATTCAGATTGTGCACCATTGGAAGTCTTTCAATAAAATAAAGATATATCTGATTGTGATTATTGCAATTTCCCATTGTTTGTTGTTAAAAAAGTTCCTCGGATGTTTTTCGTGTGACCTTATTTGGGTTGAATGGGTAACAGCCTGAAAGCACTACCTCGTTAATACTTAGCAAAATGATGCACACACTTATTTGTTGTAATACTGATTCGTTAGATACACTACTAGTTCATACGGGCGACAACAATATCCGTGGGTCAAAAAACGTTCAAAACCATTAGTTGGAGGCAAGATTTTGTTGGTGCCTTCAGAATTTAAAATTTTGAAATATTATCTGGAACGAAAAAAAATGGAGTCGCATACGGAATATTTGAGATGAATATTCAAATCTTGGTGAATTTGCCGAAATGACTTCAGGTAGGGCGATTTCAAATTGTTATGGCGGGAAAATTTGTGTTTTGATTTCAATCAAAGCTGAATCCATTTGGGGTTGCACATTATATAAAAATGTAATTTTTTCTCTTTATTATCAGATCAGAGTGTTGATATTGAAATAATTATAATTATTTCATGCAATTCGGTAATTACCGAATTGCATGTTGAATCGGATCAACTACAGTACAGTATATCAAATCAGATTACTTTTTACCTCAAATTACATTATATCATTTTATGAGCGGACACGTATTTTATTTGGAATAAATGTTATCATTTTGGAAGTTTTGAAGTTGACTGAAGTCAATTATTGACGTTAGTTTCGAAACTCATTATGAATTTTAGAGTAATTCATTGGGTTTTGACTGTGAACTTTATTTCGATCGCCATTGCAATCATGACTTTTATCTCATGTTGTGGTACGAAAGACATCAATGTATGGCCAAATACGAAATTACGGATGAAATTAACGGAACAATAATAATATGAAGGAACCGAATGGTGACTATAATTGTTTTATCGGATGTATTTCGGTAAAGCAATACATGGTGAGCTATTTTCTTTGAACATTTAATGCCTGAAATGACTTTAATCAACGTTATTAAATTGAGTTATATGCAATTGGATTTCTGAAAATGGGCATTTGAATAAAACAATAAGTGGTTACGGCATGTCAAGTGTAAAAAGAGAAATGTGAATCCATGCTCGACATTTACAGCTGTATACAATAATTTCAGCCTTGATTTGGCCGATTCATTCGATAGCAGGCGAAAGGCACTCAGTTTCAGCAAAATATGTTTATACAGGGAATGCACTTGATGATCTGGCATTTATCGCCAGAATGTATAATGCGGACCCGAATTATAAATTCTAATAACATACCGATGCATAGGATGGGAGGAAACGACGATTTAGTATAAACAGTTACAGCCAGAAGGCAATAAAATTAAAAACAGTTGCAGTTTTAACTAAATACAAAAGAGCCATAAATTGACATATGTGCAAATTTTGTTGTTTTCTTTTTAATTAAATTGATTTTCCGATGGAACTATAAAACACCACTGAATACTTTAGATTGCATCAGTTCTCTTTAGTTTACGGAGTAGAATCTCGTTGATGTGAATATTCGTCATGGTCAGCAAATTACCCGTCGTGCTTTTCATCCTATTTATTGTGTTCAAATCTTTTTTTGCTACTGATGTAAGAAACACGTTTCGTAGATTTCTTCCCTGAATAAATGATTCGATTATGTCAATTTTAGATCAGTGCATCAAATGAGGTGGTAGAAGGATGTGCAAAAGAATTGGGCGTCACATTTCCCATTCCCGGGAATGAGCTGTTTGAGAAGATTGTTTGCTTGTCATATTGTACTTTCAACAAAATGGGTTTTGTATGTTACAACCAAATTAATAAAAGCCAATTAAAACGGAATAGTGATGAATGAAAATTAAATAGAAAAACATTTTTTTTTCATGTTGAAATAGGAAAACCAGGCGCTATCACATGCTCTTATAGCAACCATTGATCGCATAGCCGAAACGACAAACGATTCAGTTACGGCAATGTCTTTCAAAAACATGGTGGCAGAAAATTTTGGATCACTGAAGAACATGTGTGCTTTGAGTGGATTTCAAGCTGGCTGATTTCAAAGCCACATCGTCCACAGAGCGTATAAGTACCGAATTATACAAGAACTTATTCAATCATTCAATTAATTTCCAATTAGAACATTTCTCTCAACTGTGTAATGTCAAGTAAATAAATATATCAAGTCATGGTAGTATCATGATGATACATTTGGCTCCAGTTAAAATTCTTACGAAAATTTTTAATCAATGAAAATGTTATTTCGATCCTCTTGTTGTCTAATCCACAGTATTTTTACGGATGAAGCATATTTACAAACTGAGTTCACTTTACTGGATACTGTAGCAATATTATCTGGGATTGTGCAAAAAAAAATTATGTAAACATTTCAAATATGCAGTACGAACAGTGACTAAACAGCTGGATTCTGGAAACAGAATCCAAAAACTCGCAATTCATTTCAGATAATCTGCATGTAGAGACGTATTCTAGCTTGAAAGTAAAATTCTCTAGTGATAAAATGAATTTACTCCGTTTTGCTTTAGTTTTGAGTTGTGTTTCTTTCGCTTTTGCAGAAATTCAAGTAAGTTAATCTACCGAATGCTCATTATTTTCATACCTTATCACATTTGCCACTTCAATTTTTTGTTTCGTTATTCAGCCCAAGAAATCTAAAATGATATTGGAGCACATGACGAAATTGTATCAAATTGCGCGACCAGTTTGCATCTTAGAAACGCGTATCGATGAGAAAAAAGTGCAAGTACTCGAATCGGTACAGCCAGTTGACGATAAAAATATCTACTGTTTCGTCGGTTGTATCATGAAATACATGAATATTGTGAGTTCGTTATCGTATTGCTTAGAATTCTTGAAAATCAATCATTTTACTCCGAAAACTGGTTTTTCTCCAACAGATCGATGAAAAAGGTCGTCTACAAAAATGGCAGCTAGTGGATGTGCTTGATGCGCTCATGGGTGATGGATTAAATGAGAATGCCAAATATGTTCTTAAAACTGTTGTCAAGCGACTGCAACAATCGAAGCATGTCTGCGAAGCTGGCAAAATAGCGATTAAGCTCATGGAAACGATTTTTTATCAGAACATTGAATATATGCTTTGATTTTTTTCATGCGGTAAATCTATGATTTTTGGATTTTTAGTTCGTTTTCGTTTATCAAAAAACCCAACACATAAGATACTTTTAAATAAAAACGAATCACTTGAAATTCACCATGGAATGCCACACTCAAAGTTTGTTTTTTTTTCCCAATCGAGAAATGTGTAAAACTTTTATATTTGTTTTGGTTTGCGTCATCTGAAGTGCAAGTATGGTTCAGATGTGCAAACAAAAATATTTCAAAACATTTGCGATGAAGAAAAATATCAGCGACAGCTGTATCAGGCGGACATGACTTGACAATTTGCGGTTAAGCCAATTAAATCGAACAACATTCGTTTAAATTGAGCCGAATTTAATAATGAAAAATGTCAAGGTAAATCATATTAGTTTTGAGATTTTAGTTTAAGAATGTGCATAACACGAAAACAATTGTTTGCACAAGGATTTCGTAAATGGTACTATGTACCAGATTGTGTGCTTTTGATATTTTAACGCAACAGACAACTTTGTGATTTACACAAATAGAGAAGCAATGCCAAATGAACACGTTGATCATGATGCTTTTGGAATGCAGAAGAAGAGATTATTTTTTGAAGAGATTGTATCATTTCTGAAAATTAAGCCAAGATCAATGCGATAGATTAGGAATGTAAAACCAGATTTAAATAAATAAACTTACAATGAATGAAAATATTTTCTTTCTCATTCCAAGAGGCACTCCATACAATTTCTGACTTTATTTCAACTTATGCATTTTCGTATCTACTACGTAAGAAACGATGCCTGCGAATAAAGTGTTTCCAGACTCTAACATAGATATGATTATTATGATAACTTTTATTCGGTGCTCAGATTGCGTCTGATGTTTTTTTCCCATTTATTCTCCGTTGGCATTTTCACATGTGCATTTGAGCCAAAAGGAAAAGAAAATATCGCTTGGCATTCAAATGTTTCCACTCGTTGGTGGATTTTGTGTTGGAATGAAAGTGCAAACATAAGCGATATGACGTGTTATAAATAATACAGACGCAATAAAATGAAATGGGAAAAAAAGACGCACGAGTCGGAAGTTCAAGACAATGGAAGAAATTTGGATAGCAAAAAAGGCGGAATATTCGATATTCTTTTATGACTGTGTAGAAAATAGGAAATTTGATTTGGTTCCAATTCATACGTAATTCAGCCCATGTACATTCGTTCACCTTTGCCATTTTCCATGAATTTCCTGTGCTATCACCATGATCTAACGGTTAGTGTTGCTTGAGATAGGTTACGAAAGATATGATGAAATTATGATACGGCAGAAAGTTCTCGAGACACACACTCTCTCTCTCTTACCTACTCTGTCTCGCTCTATCTGTGTGTATGCTCTTTCACCGTTATGAATGAAACATTCCCATTATCAATTTAATTTCACAATGGAGTACAGTCAAAGTAAACACTAGAACGTGCGCTGTGTCTTTTCATAAGAAAATATTGAACTTTGTAAATGCAGGCCAGGTAAACGGTTTCAAATATATATCTATTGTTCTTTCTGTGCTTTGAATGGAATTGAGAGCGTTCATTGAAAATTCAAAAGAAAACTCCTTTGTTAAAATGAACTTTCTAAACAATACACACAATAACGGCCATGTTTTGATAGAGACAATAAAAATAAATGATAAAAGTGATTCGTTTTTTAGATAAACGATAGGTAAACAAAATATACTCGAAAAAATTTACTATAAAATGAGCTGCTCAAACGATGATAGTCACAGTCGAATTTGATTACTCTGCAGTCATTCCAAAAAAAAAAAATCAAAAATTCAAAATGAAATCATTCACTCTCGCTTTCGTCGTCGTTGTTTTCGCTACTGTTGTTGTAGCTGAGGTAAAGGCGGCAGATTTTAAAATACTTTTACTTCCATTTTATTTTAAACGTTTTTTTTACACTTTTTCAATCATTTTATTTTAATTTTTTTCCAATTTTCTCATTCAATAAAGGAGGAAGATCTATTGATCCAGTCAATTGATAAGTGCTTGAACAAATTGAATTTGACTGAAACAGAAAATATGGATAAGCAACAACAAGCCTGCTTGAACGGTTGCATGTTGAAAGAATTGAAAATGGTACTGATAGCACGTTTTTTTTTTCTTTTGAATTCTTCAATTTAATTGAAATACATTTCTTTGTCGATTTTAGATTGGCGAAGACGGTAAATTATTGCCCAATGGAATCGAAGACTTCATCAAGAATATTCCAGCAGAATACCTCAAGGATCAATCAGAGCTTAAAGCCGATTTGAATAAAATCGCTCCAGAGCTGCGTGAAGCTAAAGATGCTTGTGACGCTGGTAAAATTGCTAATGAGGCAGTTAAAGAACTTTTTAAAACTGAAATTGACACTCCTGATGAGCTTGAGCAATAAGTTACAAACAATTTTTAGCCGAGAAACGTAGCATTTCCGAAACCGACAATTTAAACATATTTTTTGTGCTCTGTTTGCAAACCATTTTCACTTAATCACATAAATTAATTCATTTAAATGTCTGATACAGTTAATAAAACCCAAAATGCACGAGCAAAAATGTGTTTTTGTTATAAATTCAATTAAAATTTTGCTCATTTGATCTAATTTGTAGATGAAATAAATTTCGATTAATCATCATTGTTCAATTGGGCTAATTAGAACATGGAGTCAAATTCGCCGCAACAAGATATCGTTCAAAGTGTCATCAGGTGTCTCATGTCTGGTGCAAGCAAAACCTCAATCCAAATGCCGCACATTTTCGTCAAAAAGTTCACCACCGTGGTCAAATTCAAATCGACCTTATGAAAATTGAAACTAGCAAATTTGCTATGCAAACAATTCCGTGCATATTAAAATGAGTGTTTAGCGGCCGCAAAACGGCCGTGTTGCACTTGCCGATGAAATGTAATTTATATAATCCAATAACAAACTGGTTTGATATTTGGCTCGTATTTTATGTGAAAATTTGTTTTCGCTCGCTGTTAGTGTCATTTTAACACTTGGCAAAGCCAAAAAATGGACATACAAAACGCGGTAGCGACACCGAAACGAGAATGTGATGCTCTCGCACATTTATAGCTGGTCGGCATGAGCAAACTCCAAATGCACATTAGTCGTTGACTGAATGCTGTAATTACATTTTCTCCATAAATTTAATAATTTTGCGTCAGCAGCAACAGACAAACGACCATCGGCGGCTCATTATGTGTGCTGGTTATTGTTTGGTTGCGTACCCAGAAAACACAACGATATGTGTAGCAATTCTTTGACTCGAAAAATATAATTATTGTGGAAAATTTATGTCAAAACTATCGTTAGTAAAATAGTCAAAGTAATTTTGACCCACGCGTTTATTAAATAACGCCCACAAAAACGGGCCAACGAACAAGTGTAGCGTCGGTGAAAGTACAGCGAACAAAAAAATCGGTTACAAGTAATGAGTTTGTTTGTTGGTGTGCCAGATCGAGCGAGAGGGAGAGATAGAGAGAAAAAAGTGGCTGTGCACTGTGCAGCCAAAATATTGCTGGATCAACATGACAGCACTGAAAATCGTGCAACTGTTGTTCAACACAGGCCACAACAAAAGTCCGATACAACGAAATGTGGCTAAATGAATGACCGAAAATACATGCCATAGTCGCACCGAATGACACACAAACAACATTCGTTCACATGATAATGAAAGTTTTAATTATCCAAACAATTATTTTGCACAGCATCCGATGGCAAGCGAACGTTTCATCCAAAACGATGCGATTTTTGAAATGGATGCTTTTGTGTGCGAGCAAAAGAGAGAGAGAGAGAGACTGAGTGAGTGAGTGAGAGAGAGAAAAGTGCCATGGCAATACCGACGGGGCTTCAAAATATCAGCACATAAATAAATGATTCGCCTGATGCACAACAACGATGGAATAAGCTCGAACGCGCACCCAGCAAAAAGTCGCCAATGCAATGCACCTCACGCTCGAGATTCTTTGTTTGGTCGGGATTTTCATGTGCCGTGTTTTCGCGGTTGCCATTAACTGCTAATAGCTTTAAAATACCAACAAAATGACGTTTCACACTCCGGCTCCGGAATGTACAACACGGGTTGTTCGACCGAAGACAAGGCCAAATTAATGATTTTACATGTTACGCGTGCGTCTGGCCAGTACACAAATCAACATCACACTCACTATTTTTGATGCCTCGTTTTGCAATGAGCATTTCGGAGGGAGGAAGGTCGATTGCGATCCGATCAGAAATCACTCAAAACTGTTTCATTACACTCGAAATTCAGTGCAATGGTGTTTTTTTTTCGCGTTCCATCCATGCTTTAATATGGAATCAAAATTCACCAAACAAGAGCTATCGCATCGATGGAAAGTTACTTAACGGATTTGCATTGCACAAAATCCATGTGATCAGGACCCATCAAAATGAACCAACCAATTGGATTTCAAGCTTCAAATTCGAACTAATTCCGTTGTTTTTTTTTCAGGGGATTGTGTAATTTTGCGGTGATGGATTAGGCGAGTGAAAATTGGAATATCAACCATAATTCCGTGGCGAAATTCATTTCATAATCTCGGATGAGAAGCGCGAAAAAAATGGTGCGTGATACGATTTCCGGTTGGGCAAAAGACACACAAATATTGGCTTATGGTTTCAAAATGAAACCACCAAATAACAACGGTGATAAATCTGCGCACCATTTCACATGGAATTAAAAAGTGATTTTCGTAGAAAAAAAACCCAAAGCGAATGACGCTTTAAATTAGAAAATTCGCTATTTTGGGTGCGTTCATCCAAATGACATTTGTTGATGTTGTGCATGTTTTAAATCCCATTCTAGCCATTTTTAATCCGAAACGAATGCGAATTCGTGGACGATAAATCGTTGTTCGCTTGTCATTCTGCGACGTAATGGAGTCAAAACTGGTAAACGCACCGAGAACTTTCGACCGAGTAATTATTATTTTGCACCTGCAAATGGTGCGTAACAAATGGACATCATCATTTAAATACGAGAACATTGTGATAATGACGATTTCCGGAATGTCACTTTTTTCTCACTTTCTTCCACCGCCCACTGCCCACGCTCCTACACGTATCTCATTCACTCGTCCGCTCTTGACTTAAGCACCCGGAACAAATGTTCATAATTCACCTGTCCATTCGAAATGCTGAATTTGATTAGATTTGAGCCACTGAAAACGATATGATTTAAATACGTCTGTTTACCATCGCGTAATGCATATTTATTTTTTAGCCCCATCCGCAAATGTCACCATCGTCGCCGTGTTGTCTCATTGTTTACCGTGATTTATGTGCGCCTTCGTCTCATGCAACGCACATTCAGATATATATCTTAAGAAGTGCTGGGTTGTTCGTACACAGACAAAAACACCAAAGTATGGATTTGTGTGTATGTGCGGTGCGGTGCGCGTATGTTTGGAAAATCTCGTTTTCGTCGTCGAGCACGTTCCGATGCTATGCCATTTATATTTTTTTGTGTCTGGGCAACGGGAGCATTAATGAAATGACAATGTCATTATAATTAAGTAAAAGTCGTTAAGATTACATCATCAACAACACAGAATCTCATTAAAAATTCCTTTTTTCGTAATCTTTGTGGGGGTATTTAACAGACGCTGTCACCGTCGCTGCCAACAGACGCAAGGAAATTGTCGCTTGAATCACCTTCTTTTTTCATTGTGTGCAAGCATGGGGTGAAACAATCTACAGGTCTTTAGTATTCTGCTTGGAAGTCAGCTTCTCATTTCAAGACATCGAAGCACAATAATTTTTCAACGTTTTTACAGCCATGTGAACAGGGCATTCTGTTTTACATCAAATGAAATTTCATTTTATTCTAATTAAAACACGTTTTACAACTAGTTTTCGCCGTTCGGGTGAACGGTAAAATGGGATTCACAGCGCAGCTTTTGAATGAAATGATGCAATTGATGATGTACATTCATAAATGCTTTTCTAAGAGGCTCTTTTTTCGTTACAACTGAATGCCAAATCTATGTCAGAACGGAGAAAATGTGCCAGATTTTATAGGCTTAGAATAATAAGTTCATATAATTGCCATCGACTCTCGACTGAGCTATGCTTGCGTTCCACTAAGCTTTTATACCGAATTTTTCACAGATCTCTTTTTCAAATCCCTTTCAATTTCCATTAGCATTTGCTCATATTAGACCAAATTCTTAATGTATACTCAGATTCGATAGCGTTTTTTGCTTACCTCACAAAAACAATTATTGGATTTTCTTCTGTATAAGAAGAATAATCTGAAATTTCAGAGTCGAAATGACGAATCCGTTTGTTTCTTCTCTTCATTTTCGCTTTTTCTCTTTCAATTCTTCGTTTATTTCCCATTTTTTCAAAATAATATTTTTCAAGAAGCAACACAAATGGGAGTCTAGATATGTGTATTTGATACTTCAAATTAAATTCGAAAATCTCAATTCATATTATCACCTTAATTTATCTGCTCAGACTCTGTGCATAATGTTAAAATTTAAACTTTGAAAAGCCACACAGCTCCTGGAATTTGGAGTAAGTTTCACTGTTCAGATTGATATATGAGTATTTCCTTATTATTGCCTACAAGTGTGAAACACAAGCATTGCTTGTTGAAACAATGTGCGATTCCTTAACCTGCGATACGGAATGGTGTTGTGTATCTTGAAATGTGTTTAATTCCAAATCGTAAGATGTTTTAAATGGGCATTCCTGCAGTATGTACATGTGGAAAGAAATATGCCTGGGAAAAATCGATTAAAATGCAAATCCCTTTGTTATTGAATCGTTTGGTGTCGTCGGCTGTTTATTGTGTTGAGAAATGTGATTCATTTGGAAATTGCATGGTATGCACCAGAAATGAACAAGATGAGATATAAAATCGATGCAACTCCGTTCAATATGTGGAAAATGAATGAAACGTTGCCTGTGGCGGCAAAGGTGCCACAATTGATTCTCCGTTCGGATAAGGTGCGATAAAATTTAGGTGAGCATATGTTTGCGTTTACCTTGGAGATAATCCAATTTTCCACTCACACAATGCTCGAATAGTGATGAAGATTGCGCAAACAAGCTCAGACGATGTGCATATGGTGTTGGAGCCGATTTTCCACACAAAGAAAGCCGAAATGACAAAGAGCATAAATCCGATTACATCATAAATTCTCACATGCCAAAAGAAAATATTCTTGGAATATCAAATACGGTGCAAACAAAGCTGAATGACAAATAACTTCTCAACACCTTCTCTTTCACACATGCACTCACACTGGCTCATCGATATGGCCTGAACAAAGATCTCCGAATAATAATAATAATAATAATATTAATGTTAGAATAAGCAACATTGGCTTTGGTGTCGTCATGAATTGGCGTGTTTGGTAAACGGCACCGTTCATCGCACCACAAAATATCTATTTATAATCATATGGCTTCACTCAAAATATTATCTACGACTTTGCATCGTTGCGGCAAACAATGACACAAATGCTGCTATTGTGAGTGTGAGAAATGGGGCGG